TAAGCTGTTTTTAGCTGAATAATGAGCAGCTGCAGGGTCCATTCATTCTTTAATTTCCTGTCTTTCTCCCAGTAACCTTGTTTCCTTTTGCATGTAAACATATTAAAACAGGTGTTGACCTGGCTGCAGCTACAGCACACATTAATAACCTGCTATTCTGGAAAATGGCCACCGGACGTCCATATGATGTTCTACTGATTTATCAATCCACACTTGAAACAAGGAGGCGGTGTTCAGAAAAATGAACAATATTGTGTATAAATGCTGAGTTTGTGCTCAGATGCTCTTTAAAAATGAAGAAATGCATTCAGTCTGCATTAAAAATGACCGACTGAGTATTTCCTGTTTTAATGACATCAGAGCAAAGCTGACTGGAAAGAGAGAAACATTTTCTTTATTTATTAGATTAGAGACAGAATAAGTTTGCAATCTGTTGACTTTGTGTGTGAAAAGCTGAAGGGATTAATTAATGAATCTTTTTTTATTTAGCCATTACAGAAAAATGGAAAGATTTTAAACTTAAATAAAAATAAGATTTTGTTTTATTTCTTGTTTTATTATTGCATTCTCTAGGTATTTTTTTTTTCTGAATTGTTTGGCACAAGAGTCTTAAAAATATTTTTTACATTTATTTTGATTATTTGGAGGAACATTGGAGACATTTTTGCAGAAAATCTCTAGACATATAACCAGTAACAACGGATATTGTTTTATTTAGGACTTATCTTTCGTCTGCTCTGAGCTCCTCTGAGTTTTTCAGGGTGCAACAGAGGAACCAGTAAATGACGTGATGTTTACTGGTTTCGGTTTGTTTCTGAAAACCAGACGGTGATCTGAATAACAGCAGACCTGCGTTTGCTCTGTTTGGGTTTGCAGCTTTTGTTCTGCGGCTGATCGCCGCATTAGGAAACAACAACGGGCTTTTCACAGTTCACGCTTTGCCAGCCGCCACATTCTTCCGCTCACACCTCAGCGCCAGATTATAAACGATGGCATAAATTAATTACAGGTAACCAACACCTTAACCCACCACCAACTTTCAGTCGGCGTGTTTCCATATTAATGGAGTTGCGTCTCCGCCGGTGTCGGAGCGAATCAATCCTCGCATTGTTTTAATAATAATAAATATTCCTCTTATTGTTTTCCTTAGCATCACGTAGCATTTTAGACTTTCAGCTGCTAACTCTAAGGGGTTGATTTATGTCAGGAACAATCCAAGCAGAAAACACATGCAGACACTGCAAAAACACAAAATCTTACCAAGTACTTTTGGTCTAGTCTCTCGTGCAAATATCTTAGTACACTTGAAGTAAAGTTACAAAAGTAACTTTTTAGCAAGAAATGGGAGTTTGTTTTAAGTTAATAATTCCTTAATATTAATAAAAAAAAGTACTTGTTCTATTGGTAGATTATTAAATTTTCAACATGATGTTTTAAATGTTCATATAAGTGAAATAAAGTGCCAGTGGAAATGTTACTCTTTATCAATATTAATAATTTATTGACTTAAAACAAACTCCTATGTCTCGTTGAAAAGCTACTTGCAAGTTAGAATACTTGAAATAAAAGAAACTAAGACAGTTTCTCTAGAAACTAGTCGAAATTCTTGGTAATATTTTATTTTTGCACTGAATTTGACTAATTTTTCAACAACTACTGTCTGCATGGTTTTGGTCTTTGAACAACTGCTTCTTGTTTACTTACTGAACATATTTGATTAATTCCTGATCATGTAATTTTAAAAATAACCTTAAAAAACCCATAACAGATAATGAAATGATACTGAATTGATGGAATGGGTGAATTTATATTCAAAGTGAAGATTACTTCTGTTTGTTTTTCATATATATTTGAAATTTATGAAATTTTGTGTTTTATTTGTTTTAAGGTATTTTGTGATGCTTTTTTTCAATGTTTGCAAATTGTTGAGGAGGTTCATTTTAATTTTGTGTTTTGACTTGAGGAAGTTTGTAAGGATTTTAACATAATATTTATGGAATAATCTTTAAATAGACAAATAAATATAATGACCTAAATTCAAACTCATATCTCTGGGATTCACTTATGGGTAACATAGTTAATAGTAAAAATGAATCATGCATCATTTTCCATCCTGTTCCTGCTGTATCACATAAAATCACAATAAAACACAATACGTTGTTGAGGCTGCAATTTGAAAAATGTGTTAAACTTTAAGAGGCAGAAATACTTTTGAGCCTGAACCAAAGCCAGGAGCAATCCTCATTAAACCTCAAAAGTCACTTTCAGCTATTACATAAGCGCTCCAAATCCTTTGTATGTGAATACAGAAACATCCTCAGTGATCAGGCATTTATTTATATTCCCCTACTGATCAAAACCGCTTTAGAATATCACAAAGAAAGCCAGGCTGCCTGGCAGTGGAGCACGAAGACATGAAAGGTGACTTAAAACATTTGCACAGGGAGCAAAGTGAAGCAGATGAATAATGAATATTAAGATGAAATGTTTCTTAAAAAGGATGATCCACTCCATCTTGGCACAGAGCCTCTGTTTACCACATTTGGGCCAAAAATATCAAGAAAAAGAGAGAAATTCAGATTTCATACTCACGACGCAGCGCTGCAGCTAATTACTAACATTTAAAAAATGATTATGGGCTGAGAAAGAACATCTGGGGAAACCATTCAAAAACTCATCAATGCCCACAAAACATCCTGCAAAAAATAAATAAAAACTCAAACAAAGCATCTGCTTTCTCTTGAAGACGAGTTTTTCTTGTCAGTAGCAGGCAGGATGCTTCAGCGCTGCCGCGGAGCGCCAGCTAACTGGTGGAGATGGAGGTGATTAGTTCAGGGAGAAATCAGACGACAGCAACATGGAACTATAATACAACCAATCTTTCTGATCATTCCCTGCTTTAGGTGAGCATTTATGCTGCAAACTAATTAAATTATCTCCTGATTTGGTGATTAAATCTGAGATCTGGAGGCGGAGAAAAGTTACGTTTGTCCCTGGGAATGTCTGAGAGTCTGGACTTTGACTGGACCATTGCCTCACCTCGATTCTTCCTCCTTTGCTCTGGTTTCTTATCCAATTTTACAGCTTTATTTGATAATACTTTGGGTTGCAGAGGCGTTTGTGGTTGATTCAATGACTGCAAAGAGTCCAGGTCCAAAAAACTAAACAATTTCACCAAGTAACCACAGTTAGCATGATGTGTTTGTCCCGACCTACTGTGTTTGGTTTCCTCCGTTATGGTCAAGAATTTCTTCTTTGGTCTCATGGTTCCAGGAAGTTTTTGCTTCATTCGTATAACGTTCTGTGAACCTAAAACCTCCCACATCCTGAGGCACACACCAGCTCTGTTTATTCTGACTCCAGTCCGTTTGTCTAGAAAGTCCAGTTCGTTTGGTGAAATGTGAATGCTAATCGAGCTCTGGTCCATCTACAAACCTCGCCCTCAGCTCGGTTGGAGTGAACTCTGGTTCGGTTTGGATGCACATGAGAACGCCAAGTGGACCGAAGACTGCTTCAAAAGCAGAGAGCAAGGCATTCTGGGTAAATATAACCAAAACAAATATGCTCACCTAGCTCTAGCAGGAGAAATGGCTCGTGGTGTTTAGCCATAGACAAAAGAGAAATCCTGGGTGTGCTGTGGTGGTGCAGGGGTTCTTGGTTCAGTGCCCCCCACAGGCGAGGAGGCGAACAGGTTGCTCAAAGGGTTTGGTTGGTTTGACTCGGAGCAGATGATGAAGTTTTGGTTCCAGTAGAACCGAGTCTACCGGACTATCCGGAGGTAAAACATCCTAACTGTACTTTCAAAATCTTAAAACACTGACCTGGTCCTTATAATATACTTCTTATCCTGTCAATATACATGATACCAGAGGTTATATTTTACACTGCAGCCTTTTCCCGTCTTCCAGCAAAGTGTGGGTGCAATCTGGAGGTGTGGTTTGTTGCAGCTTTCTGCTTTGATTAGTTTGGCGGTTGGAGTGCATTTAGGAGTCTCACTTCCATGAGTAACCATGAGTAACCAATCCAGACCAGTGTACATGGGTTACTATAGCAACTATGGCTCCCAGTGATTGATTTCCTGGTGGCATGCTCAGAATAATCAGACAATCCACTTTCTTACTGATTTTAACCCTTATCTGGTTTTCTGGAAGCAGATAAATGTGTTTAAACATGTAAATTAAAATCTGAGGGGATCCCAAATAATGACATCATGAAGATGTTTGCAGAAGTTGCAGGAAGTCTGGATCACAACCAGAGTAAAGTACCATCTCTGCACGTAATTTCATTAGCTTGCTGACCTGCACAAAGCCTCAAATAAGTCGTAGACCAAAATGAAATCATGCAGCTAAATTGCAACAAACAGGAGCTGATTTCTGGGCCCATGGCTCATTTTGGCTCTGCAGCTCACTAATTTGGTCATTAAACCAAGCGAGCAAAGTTAGGTTTAAATTTCCAACGGAGCAAAATGAGCACATTGATTAACAGAAAGCTCGTGACCGTGAATTCGCTCGCACAAATTATGAAATGGCAGCCAAAAAAAAACAAAAAAAAAACACACACACGCACAAAAATAAAAAAATAATGGGAAAGCAATGCAAATTAGACGAAATTAGAAAATGATGTGTATCAGCTTCAGTCAAACGCATGAAAACAAGTAAATGAGGTCTATTTTTGCCTCCACACAAAACTATCTGCAGTGGCTGATATAATCAGTCCTGTCCTCAGAGTGGCTTTTATTACCTTCAGGGAAGAACTGTAATTGGTTAGTAGGTGAAATCATTCTCCAAGTGTTTCCAGCTAGAAAGATTAGACTTATTGCAGCCGCAGTGACTTATTCTGACAGAATAAACTCAAGGAAAATAAGACTGGCGTCCCAAAGACTGATCAGTGCAATTGATGAATAACTGATAGCAAGCGGTTGACATTTAAAAAGCCAAGCGGCGGTGCAAACACAAACGCACAGAAACAGAGACATAAAGAGGAAAGTAAAAGATACCAACCATGAGCTGCAGGTTCAGCGCTGGGCACAGTGTCTGAGCACACAGGGGGGAGGACAGGGAGGTGTGGAGGAACAGGAGGAACGACATGCAAATAAAGAAGAAACAGGGGGGAGGAGAAAACAAACAACACCCATAAGCAAGCATTCAGGAGACCAGAACATGACAAAAGACATAAGACTTAAGGGAAATCAAAGGGAGGTGGAGGCAGCGCAGAGATAAACACCAACACAAATACGTTTCCCACCGCAGACGGCGAGGACAATACGCAGCCGACCATTTTCATGTGCGTGGGCACAAACCGCCCAGAAACATTTAACTACTTCCCAACGTCCAGTTATCACCGACGGGAGAAGTTCAAACAAAAGGGCTGAAGCTGCTGAGATGAGATACTGACCCGCTGCTGTCATTAACACATAAAGATCCACTTCACTCCATATGACGGTTCACAGGAAACACGTCTGGTTTAGAAAACGGTGATAAAGCTGAAGCATAAAAGTTTTACAAAAAATATGTTATTTACATATATAACTTTCATAGAGTCACAGTTTGATATGTGGCAGGTAATATGTGAAAAAAAACTGAGCACCTCCACCTTCACCCTGTGCTAACTAGAAACAGTCAATCAGAGCCAGGAGGCGGGTCTTAGTCCTGTCAATCACCTGTGTGGATGCTGCAATACCTTACTAACAGCAGAGCCTGTCCTGAATGCTAAAGGTAGTTAGCATGACCACCAATAATAAACAGCGGATAGAGTTTTTCTGTATTGGTAAGTTGTTTCTTGCCATTCGCACAATTAGCAGCGAGTCCATGAGGATGATTGACAGCACTAAGACCCTCCTTCTGTCTCTGATTGGTTCTTTTTGGTGCTTTTCCTCAGACACCAATAGTAGCTCAGTAAAGAGTTGGAGGAGGTGTCTTATAAATATTTAAAAACATACTCTTTATGAAAGTTAGATACTGCAGCTTCAAGGCAAGAATGATGAGAAAAATGGCTGAAAACAAAGAAAATAATAAGAATAAAAAGTAGGACACTTTTAACTAGAGCTTGCAAAAGTTCCCCTGAAACACTTTCACAATCCTCACAGCTACAATTATCTCTTTAACCACTCCTAATAACTCCATATATTAATTTATTAAACCTTTAAATAAAGGCTTTGTTGGTTATTTCTATTTTTTTCCAGCAAAGGCTGTTTATTTCCCTTTAATGGTGCTTCATTTGTGAGGAAAATGTGTTGCAGCGGAGTTAAGACAAAAAATCTACTAAATCTTCTCTGAAAAACAGATTTTTCAACAAAACCTTGTTGTTCATATGGAAATAATTACATTATTTAATTTTCTTTCCTCATTATCTGCAGCTAAAGTCTGCGATGAACACAAAGTAGAAAAAAATATTTTTTTTACAGCTCATATCACCAACATTTATTGTATGTTTTGCAATATATGTCCAACTTGTTATGCAAAATCATTAAAAGATCATTCCTATGCACTTTAACATCATTTAGTTTATTAGTTTCAAACTGTTACAGTTGATTTCTAATCTCCAAAAACAAGTGAAGCTTTGAGACAAAAGATGCTGCCATAAGCCAGTCAGATCCAGCTGCAACACGTGAAACCAGTTGCATTGACTGGTTTGCCTTTAAGGAAGATCCTGTCAGTGAAACGGAGACAAATCCCAGTCGGTAGTGCTGCAGCAGAGGCAGAGTTCACCTTTACTCTCCCTGAATCTATTAACATTTACATAGAGAACAATGTCAGATGATACTGGAGGTGATGCAGAGTTTTCTGTTTGATCAACAGCAGCACAGAAACAGTAATTACAGGATTTATTGGCTGCTCCGGTGGAAACCTGGTGTTTCCCAGGCATTTTCAGAAAGTCCATCAACAAACCAAAGGTAAACACAAAGGTTTCTTTTTCCAGAGTAAACAGTTACGTCACTGATAAAGTTTATTTATTTCAGTAAACATGGTTTTCTCCAGGTACTCTGGCTTCCCAAAAACATGACTAATGCTGATTTAACAGTGGCTGCGTTTCCATTACAAATTTGTTATCGGGGGGAAAAAATTTTTATTTGTGGTGCTTTAAATAAGAAACTCAATTAAAATCACATCTAACTATGTTTGTTCACACAATAAATCATTAAACAAAACTTGCTGCACCATCGTTCTCCAACCACTTCCTGTTTCCCTGAAACTCAATCTGTGTTTTTTACTTGAAATTAAGAAATTCAGATTTCTTCATTATATAATAAATGAAGTCTAAATAATCTATATTGAAGTAAAACACCTAGCATGCGGTAAACAGTTAGCTGTAACTAATAACAGTGTTAGCAGTTAGCAACGCTCAAGCTGTTAGCTTAGTTGCTAGTCGCCTTTCTGATGCCTGAATTTATCTCTTGAAATAGTTGTACATAATTTAGCAATGTTAAAAGGTTATATGTTTACATTTATGTAGATTATCTTGAATTAATTTATGTTGAATTAATACAGTTTAAAACCGTTGGCTGCAACTGCTAACAGTGTTAGCTGCTACCTAACAACGCTCTAGATGCTAACTTGGCAGACATTGCTAATCGCATTTCTGATGCCTCGCAAGTCTGAATTCACCTCCAGAAATAAAGTTGTAGCCAATTTAATAATGTTAAAAAGTTGAATCTTACTGTGTGCAACTAAATTTATTGATGTTTTTTCTATTTCTGAAGAAATAAAAGGGTTATTTTTTACTGAAAATTCCCACAAACATCCATGTTTTTTAGATGATTTCCTCTATTAATTCAACAATAAAAACTCCTCCACCTCCTCTCCTTTTTATGCTTTAATTTCTTCTTCAGCAGAAAACAGGAATGCAGACATTAACAGAGCTTTGATGTTTTGTAGAGATAATGTGAACAGTGTTGACGATAAAAGCAATAAAATACAGTTTAAGGGTTTGTAAATGGTATATAAATGGTGTGAAATAAAAACACAAACCCTCTGCGCCGTAGATAATTTACAAAGCTCATGCCTGGTTACGCTTTTAACGAGTTATCATCTGAATCAAGCAGAAAGACTAACAAAATACAACAAAACACTTGGCAGGAGGCAAAAAGAAATGACATGGACACGAGAAGAGAAAAGGAAAGAAAAACACACACCAATCGTTTTTCATACCAAATATGAAAAAACAACTATTTGAAGGCAGACGGATTATAATATTATCAACACAAAAATTGTTTTACATTTATTCTTTTATCCATTTTGTTTTCTCACTGCCTGTCAGACAAAACTTATCCTGTTTTAGGCCAGATAAAACAAACTTAAACATCTCTATTTGCTAAATATGAAAATATAGAGAGAATATTTTATTACTTTCTTTAAATCTGCTCTGATAATCAAATATTCGGGTCTCCTTCCTCAAGCTTCTCATAATAATAATGTTTTGCTGTATACTTTGTATCATCAGCCACGGGGGCGTCACTAGGTTTCAAGCACAAGGAGGCTTAGGCCCCAGGAAATGCAAATAGATGAGTGGAACATTTCTCCAACAGCAACAAAAAAGAAAAAGTTGCTTTTCGACTTTTAAAATAGTGTTCAAGGTAATAGAAACCTCTTTTACTACAAAATATGATTGTTAAACATTTAATATATAAATATAATAAAATTATTTTCTAGCAAAAGTTAAGATCATTATAATTTCCTATAATACCTAAACCATTAGATATTCTTTGAAGAACATTTGTTCTGAGTAATTCTAGCCATATTTTACAGATCTTTATACAATAATGTAAAGAGAAACTGACAGATTTATGACCAAGAAGTCTGCTCCTGATTGGCTGATTTCTTCAGATTTTTCTGTGATGTCATACAAATAAGCAGCGTGTTTGATGCGTTACCTTTGACCCAAATTTTGTCTGAAAAGTTTCAATTCTCCCTTCAATTTTCAACCATTGCAAGACTTCAGCTAAGCTTAAAGGTGGACACCATGTTTTATTTTCACATTTTTATTGATAAGCGTTTGTTTCATTTGAACTAAAAGACCCCCAACACATAACATTACATCCTTTGAAATGATCAAAATAAAGACATATTTTCAAGAAAACCTGGCAGGTAAACACGTTTTCTGTCCTCTGTAAATGATCTGCAGGTTGTCAGTAGTGGTGGTTTAATATGATTACACCGTACAGTGAGAACAACAGGTGTACAGCGTTTGTTCAAGTGTGATCAACAAACCACAACGGCAGAATCTTTAAATAGAAAATTCCTCTTTGCCTTTCAAGGCTGCAGCTAACGAGCTCACTGAGGTAAACACTCGTCAAGGATCCTGTTCTGCTGCATAGAATGTCAACATAATTAATATGAAAGTGTTGATATCACAAGTGTAAATATCACACAGATATTTATGATGCACGGTAACAGGAAAACCTGCTTCCTGCCTGTCTTCATGAAACCAGGAGGTTGTTCTAATCTGTGTGAATTTTATACATTTTGGATTTTTTTAAGAACAAAATGACTGATTTGGGATTATTTGCAAGGAATCCTGTGATATTTGCAACAAATTTGATTTTGTGTTACTAGCCACATCAATCACAGACTGTATCTTGACATAAAGATCAGGTTGAATGTAGAAGTAAGAAATACTGCCTCCTGTAGCTGGGAGTTAGCATCACTTAAACCTGATATTTTGACAGGTTTAAGTGACAAAAAAAAAACTTGTTGTCCCCAATTTAGTTGTAAACAAAATTTATTTTTGCAATTCACTTCACTTCACTATTGTTGCTGGTTATTTTCTTCATGTAGTGAAAAATGTGTAATCAGCTTTGCTGCCACCTAGTGGTTACAGTTATGCTCAATTATGCCTATTTTTCCTAATTTTCCCACCTTCATTTATCCATTTTGATTTAATCAACTTTAAGTCTTTACCTTATTTATTATCTGCTTGACAATAAAACATCATATATGCTTTATTAAATTATTGTTTAATTTCCCTTTGGGATCAATAAAGTACTTCTGAATTTGAACTGAACTGAATGTTTTCAGCTGATGTTCAGGCCCGTTTT